AGAGACACTCCCTTTTTTTGTGTAATTTGATGCAAAGGTGATATAATACAAAGTGTAGTGTTATAAATGTACATGCATTTAAAAAAAAATGTAAATATAAAAAACTTTCAAGGATTTACGATACTGATGGCCGATGAAACGCTAAAATGCCTACATGACATGCAGGTAAACAAATTATTTCATTTTTTAGTAAGTGTTTTATTTTGATTGAATTTATTTTTAAATTATTTATTTTAATTTTACATTTTTATGACTTAAGGAATTAGCTTTTCATTACATTCACAAACCCCCATGCAGTTCCTTCACGAACCCCAGTTTGGAAAACCTTGGCATAATGTAATGCTTAATTGGCTTTATGTTGTTAATAACAACAAAATGGAATATATTTTCTTTGCATTTTAATATCAGTATGGTACAATATTATCCCATTTAAATCAATGTGATAAAAGAGTTATGCTAAAAGTAATCTGATTATATGATCTAAAATGTGTAATGTAATGGATTACGTTACTAACTACAATTTTTGTCATGTAATTTGGAATCAGTAACGGACTACAATTTGTAAGTAATCTACCCAGCTCTAATTATATTTATTATGACACCAAATATGTCTTACGAATTAAATCGATTTTATCTCTGGGTTATCGGTTACAAGATAACATGAATGACATAAACAAATGCTATTATGCATGATTTTTATCAGAGACAGTTGTAGTATCTGTTATATAATACATGCATATATAAATACAGTAAAAACAGTAATAATGTGAAATATTTTTACTATCTAAATAAGCAATGTTAATGATAAGAAATGTTTCTTGAGAAGCAAATCATCATTTTAGACTTTAGACTCAGAGAGTTATGATGCTACAAATTCAGCTCTGCATCACAGGAATAAATTACATTTTAACATATATTCACATAGAAAACAGTTTTTTTTATTGTAACAATATTTCACAATATTATTGTATTTTTGATCACATAAATGCAGCCTTGGTATATATACACGTGGGTGTGTGTGCATGTATTATATGTCTGCATGCATACATTTTAAAATATATAATAATGTCTCATTTATTGTTTGTATTGACGCGTATTGAATTCAAGTGCATTGTATTGTATGTTGTCCTGAATTGTACTGTATTTTGCATTTTATATTATGTAACAGACATTAAACAGTTTGAAGTGCTACTTTAGTTCAAACGACATATGTATATCTTTATTAAAGATACTAAACAGTGAAACTACACAAACTAAAATGCATACATGCATTTTATATGATACGTGCTGCTTTAGTTTTAGCAGTTTTCTGTTGGACATAATGAAAACAGCATGTCTTTAACCAAGAATGCGAAATGTTGTGACAGATCTAATTATTAAACATATACTTCGGTGAAAAGTCCTTTACGTGCAAACAGTTTGGAGATGCAGGATAGAATTGGGGAACCTTCTGTAACCATGTGATCTGTGTCTCGTTAAAAAGTTATATAACTTGCGTGTGTTTTGTTTGTGTTTTGTTTGGTATAAAATGAAGACAGAATATGCATTATAAACCTTAGAGTATTTAAGTTTTTTTTTTTGCTGTTGGATGGAAACGCAGCACAGATGAAAACACATTAATTTAAACAGCAAGAACGCTTTAAAAACTTACATGCAAAAGTGCATGTTCATTGCGTCATCTGTTATTAATAGCATGAACTATACTTATATATTCTTATACAGATTCAAGTCAATGCATTTTTAACTTTTATGGAACATTATTCAATATGAAATAGTTGCAAAACAAAACTAATTTGGGTTTATTTCATACAGAACTGCACATTTGAACAGCAAAGCGATTTTTGAAGTTTTTACATGTTAAATGTACTTGTGTAAATAAAGGGAAATGCGGAAGTGAGCTTTGTTATGCACGGCTAAAAGCAGCCCAGCCTTCAGCCAATCACGAGTGCTTTAAATGAACGGATCGCACCAAAACGCAGCCAATCACACGCGAGCAGGAACTCTCAACCAATCACCGAGCAGTTCTAAAACCCACGTGACGTTGGTGTTTCAGAAAACCGGCGTGTGACAGCAGCGTTGTTTACTCACAGAAGAGAATCGCAGGGAAGAGCTTGTCTTATTCTAATCAACATGGCCACCGACTTCGACAGATTAGTGTCGTTTGAGGAAGCTAATTACGATGAGTATGATTATTATAACCTGGAGGAGTATCCCTGCCATGCTGGAGGAAAAGGCAGAAGTAAGAAGGAGATCGGAATGAACACTAACCGCCATTGCCCAGCCGGACACGAGAGAAAAATAGCAGGGAAACTGCAAAACAGTGAAATAAAACGCAGGAGAACCAAGAGCTCTTCCTCCTGAGGGAAATGTCTTGAGGTGAGAATGTGATTGTCGCTTGCGACATGTCTAGGCAAGTCCTCAGCCCTCTCTTTGTGTACCAACTCCCATTTCATGCAGACAGTTCCTGTCTTGTGCTGTATGTATTTTATTGTGAATATTCATTTTTAGTTGATTTTTCTGCGTTACAGATTCAGGCCGCACATACTGGAGATGGATGAGTGAAACCGGATCGTGGTCCAAATGTCTGTTCTGCCTTTATCCTATTCTGACGCGAATAGCGTGTATGGAAGGCCAAAAGGGTCAAAAACACGTGAAATTTTACACATCAACAACGCGTCAAATACACGTGTGTGTGTGTTTGGGTGTCACGTCTTAAACGTTCACTGACTTAAGAAATGTGTTCAATTGAAGGAAATGACATGTTCTTAAAGAGGTCAGAAAACTTGTTAACTTCTATAATTGAAGATACATGATAATAAATGAATTTGCATAATTATCTTTGTTGCTTTGCATTCTTTATATTTTTAATAAACATCTGAATATTCACTTTTTTAATTTGAACATGGAAATAAGATGAAAGTATGTGATTGTCAAGGTTTTAAAGAAGATACAATGAGTTAACATGATCATCAGGATATCAAAATCATTTTATATTTAAGTGTTCAAATCTTTATTCGGGTCACTGTATGTAACTTACTATATGATACTTGATTCAAAAATAAAAGGTTTCATGCCCCGTTGACAGATGTTTGTTCTTGTTTTGAGCACGAACTCGTTTAATTTTGTTCAGTTTCTCAGAAAACAAGACTTGATGTTCATTTTGCATCGCATGCATCTGGATTTTCTTGATTTAAGGATGTTTAAATAAGACAAAAATACTGAGGAAGATAATCATTTTTTGTTTTGCAATGCATGCAACATTTAATGCTGTAACTTTATGAATTTAAGACTTGCTTCTCTGATTTAGGAGCTTTTTAAGGGTTTAATTTGTGGAAGTAGCTAATTTTATTTTAGCTACAACATGTGAAACCAGTGAGAAGATACATTTACCACGATATCCACGACTGCACTTTCAGCTCTCTGACCTCCAACATGGATTGGAATTATGAACAGCCAGAACTAAAAATAGTTACAATAATATAATATGTTCATCCCGTGACAAACTTCTAAATAGTCAGACCAGTGACCTGTATCAGGATTATAGTTAACTAAAACTACAACCAAAAAAAAAAAAGCTATTTGAAATAAACATGAACTGATAGACACCTTAACTTGTACTAAAGTAACTAACAAAACATTGCCCTGCAAAAATCAGAAAATTACCTAAAATGAAAATATAAAAATAAAAACATTCAAAATATTAATACAAACTGTAACGGCATCTCAATGATACTAAAATAATATCGGTTTGTTTGTATGTGACCATAACCCGGTTTAAAAAGGATGTTCAGTCATCTTTCTGCAAGATCTTGTGTCAACAAAGAGGCACAAATCACTTTCTCTGGCTTTTTATTCTTGCAAATAAATTCCTATTTTCTTCCAAACCCCATCATTTTCAAATAGATTAAAAATGCACATGCAAAAGCGTAAACATCTGAATTCAAATTGTTTGAATCAGTCACATTGTGTAAATCTGTTGCATCGCGCAAAGCCTCCTCTGCTCATGCTGTAATGGAAAGTTTGGATACTAATACTAAACATGTGCGCTGCTGGTACATCGTGTGCACCATAAAAACCTGAGTGATCACATTTGATCCGTCTTATTTCATGCACTGCATACATATATCGTCATATACATGTAAGAATACATATAGGTTTGATATGATTTGCAAAGTGAAGCAAATAGAAGAATTCGTTAAACTAATGTGCATTTGATATGCTTTTGTTCCCCGTACTAGAGAGTGGCATGCATTACATTAATATGTCATCTAATGATTCCTGAATCGATCAGATCAGAATTCTAAAACGGAATACAATTGAATAGAAAAAACTAAACTATTTCAGGTTTTAGGTGAATTCTGCATTCAAATCCAGCTGAACAGAACCGAAGTCAGTCTGTGTTTACACGCTTCAGTATAAAAGTAGAGTCGTGGCATGCACTGAAAAGGTCAAATGCTCATCATAATTCACATACATCTCATTACTGTAATGTAAGAAATAATGCTTAAATGTAAAGTTCTTTGCATTAAAATAACTAACGTTTTGGAGAAAATTGTGTTGAAAATAATCCCACAATGATCCTAAAAACAGTGTTACTTTATTATCATTATGAGCTGTTCTTGTAGTTTTTATTAACCATTTGAATTTGTTTTGTTACATTTTTCAATTTAATTTTAGTTTTTGTAATTTTGCTGTGCATTTTTTGTATTTTGTGATTTTTTTTTAAAAGCATATATGTTTTTATAAATTTTTATTTGTGCTTCAGCTTTAGTTATTTTAGGATTTCAAATTAAACTAAATCAGAAATGAAACTAGCTAAAATAATTGTTTTATATTTTATTTTACTTTGTTTTCAAGTAACTTTTTTATTTACTGTTTTTTTTTTGGTTTTTGTTAATTTAGTACATTAAGTTAAACTATGAGAAATTATCATCTAATTTCCTTTAAATATTTTATTTCAGTTCATGTTTATTTTATTTCAAGTAACTATTTTTCTATGCTTTTAGTATTAGTTAACTACAATAACCCTGCCTCAAAATTAACAATAGGCTTAATTTGCTTTATGCAAAATATATTTTTTGAGATGAAATATGACCCAGACATCACAATACTGATCTCCAGCTTCATTCACACATATCTGTATTAATCTTAACTTATTCAGAGGTAAACTCGATCCCAAAACACTCAACATACTAGTCAAGTTTTATGACAAATGCATTGACCTGAACAAAAACACATGCAGACATTCGAGGAAGTGATCCTGAATTTCATTCAATCAGACGTCAGCAGTTTGTAAAAGAGCTAGAAACAGGCGGGACATCTTAAGATTTACAGCAAGTAGAAAAAACTCATTCACTTCTAGAAAAGTTAACAAAGCAAAACTCTTTGGCAAAAACTGCCTAACGTGTTGCATATCAAATTCAAAAAAGCAAAGCGCTCCAACAGTTCATCTACTGATGCATATTGTGAAAAAACCGACCGTTTTTTCACAATATGCGTCAGTAGATGAACTGTTGGAATGCTTGGCTTTTTTCTTTCCATCATGCAGTCTTCAGAAACAGTGTTAACTCTTGGTCGCGCGCAGCTTCCGGCGGAAATACTCCGGCGCGGCTTCCTGCAGCCAATCAGCGTCCACCAAACACAGATCCCTCATGTAACAGCGAGACGTGTGCAGGAGCTCACTGAAGAGCACGCAGGCGGGTTTGGCCTGGAACAGGACGGATGAGGGATGGATGGCCACGTGCTGGTGTGTGTCCAGAGCCACGTAAGAGCCATCCGGCTGCAGCTCCGCCGCGTTCATGAACAAACCGTGAGCCAGACAGCGCCGCACGTTCGTCAGGTCCGACAGAGAAGACTCCAGCTTCATGTTCATCTGAGGAACACAAGATCACAGGACCTTAGGCATGCACACTAATCTGAAATCATTTGTCTGATTTAGTGTCATTTGCATGTCACTGAGATTTTTTATTACATTACATTTAGTCATTTAGCAGATGCTTTTATCCAAAGCGACTTATAAATGAGGACAATGGAAGCAATCAAAATCAAGAAAAGAGCAATAATATGCAAGTGCTATGACAAGTCTCGGTTAGCTTATTAATATTTTGAATTCCTTTTTTCCTTTTATTTTTTTGTTTAATTTTATTTTGTGTTTTTGTAAATTATTGTTATTTATTTTTTAATATGTCTAGTTTTCAATACTTTTTATTATTAAAAAAAAAACAAGTTTATGTTTTTTTATTCTATTTTATTTCAGTTAGTGTTTATTTTATTTCAAATAACAAATATGTTTTTTTTATAGATCTATTATTTTTATTGAGTTATTATAGTTGAATAAAACCATAAAAACATTTTTGTTCTTTGAAATAAAATAAATTTTAACTAAAATAAAATACAAAAAAAACTTTAACTTGGTGTATTAAAATAACTAAGAATAAATAAAATAAACCTAATAAAAACTAATTAATAAAAACTATATAGGCATATGAAAAATGACAAAAACACAAAACAAAAAAATAAATAAAGTGACAAAAGAAAATATAATTTTTTTTTT